CTGAGAGATCCTGGGCTGAGAGCTGGGTGGGGATGTCTTGGGACCCAGTCTCTTGATTTCCTTCCAGGGACCCTCCCCAAACCCACCCTCTGGGCTGAGCCAGCCTCTGTGATCACCTGGAGGAGCCCTGGTATCATCTGGTGTCAGGGGACCCTGGATGCCAAGGAGTACCGTCTGGATAAAGAGGGAATTTCAGAGCCCTGGGACAGACAGACACCACTGGAGCCTGGGAACAACGTCAAGTTCCACATCCCACACATGGCAGAGTACTATGCAGGGCGATATCGCTGTTACTATTACAGCCCTGCTGGGTGGTCAGAGCCCAGTGACACCCTGGAGCTGGTGGTGACAGGTGAGAGGACACTCGGGCTCCCAGCCCCAGGCTCTGCCCTCAGGAAGGGGTCTGCTCTCAGGGTGTCTCCCTGTCACAGCCCAGCCCTGGGGGTGATGTGGGAGGTGTGAGCCCCATTGACCACGGCTGCCTCCTTCTCTCCTAGGATTCTATGATAGTAAACCCACCCTCACATCTGTGCCAAGCCCTGTGGTGACCCCAGGAGGAAACGTGACACTGCAGTGTGTCTCACAGCGGGGATTTGGCAGGTTCATTCTGATCGAGGAAGGACAGAACCTCTCCTGGACCCGGGACTCACAGCGAACCTCCTCTGGGCAGTCCTATGCCCTGTTCCCTGTGGGCCCTGCGACCCCCAGCCACAGGTGGACGTTCAGATGCTATGGCTGGTACAGGACCAACCCACAGATATGGTCAGTTCCCAGTGACCCCCTGGAGGTACTGGTCTCAGGTAAAGGGATTTCATCCTACCCTGTTCATTTCTTGAGACCCCCAAAAATGTCACTGTGAGCTTTGCTTCCGGGGCAGCCTGAGGTGGGAGGGGTGGTGAGCAAACAAAGGTTCCCAGGGCCACAGGCCCAGAGGGTGAGAGACAGCAGGACCTGCAGGGCAGGACAGGACACGGGAGGTGTTGGGGTGAACCAGCCCCTGCAGCCCCCAGCCTGTCCTTCCCTCCAGGTGTGTCTAGGAAGCCCTCCCTGCTCAGCCTGCAGGGCCCTGTCCTGGCCCCTGGACAGAACCTGACCCTCCAGTGT